ATTACACGGAAGTCACAGAAGTTTCGGTAAACAAAAATGAGAAAAGATTCATCATCTTTATCATCATGAAAGAATGCCTAAATTCCAAGTGAACGCATCTAATCTGCCGCATCTTAAATATATTAGCCGTATGCTTTCATCTAAGCAAGAATCGCTTTTTTCATCATAGTGAAAATTTTACAGACCAGAAATAAACTCATTCCATGCACAGTACTCTACAGTCTCTCAGAAATTTCATCTCATTCATTATATTTGTTTATGTAACATAAATTCCTTGACACCTTGTGTGTTTTATTACTCAATCTCTGCTAACGAGGAGTTTCGCCTTCTTTGAACTGCTTTAAGTGACCATGATGACTACATAAGTTTACATGGATCACAAAGGTACACATACCACACGCTTATAATTCAATTTATTGTAGGCAGAATACTGGAACATCAACCAAACAATCATTACTTGCAAAGACTATATGCACTAAGAACTGTAGATATTTTTCGAGGAAAAGCAATTGGAACACAAAGCACATGTAGATAATTTTTGTTTAAGAATCTTGTAGTGTTTCTGAAAAATAAAAGACACAACAGAGGAAGATCTTAGCTCGTCTGAAAATGTCTAATAATCGTCATCCTCTTCCATATATTATACACAAATATAAAAACATATTATAAAAGAAGTGGACTTGAGTGCTCTAACTGTTCGACGGAAAGTAAATGACATAAGACACATGGAACACTGATTATTTGATTGTGGAATATAACACGCATGCATATTTAATATGTGTATTCTATGTTATTACATGAAATATATTGAAGACGCAACTTCATATATACTTATGTCTATGAATGTGTACATAAATATGAAAAAGAGTGAAATCAATTTCAACGAGTATCCATCTTAAATGAAGAGAAGTTTCAACGCCATACAAAATGCAAGAGTACAGCAAATCAAATCAGTGAAATCACCATACAATATAGCAGATAAATAAATATTCAGTTGAAAAATAATAGCATTTCTCGTATCATCAAAAAACTAGATATCATGGATGTTTTCCCCTAAAGACAATAGAAAAGAAAAATTCTGCATCCCACTTTCAGAGGAGAAGACATCTAGGCATTAACAAATGCTCCTTTATCTAAACCACTAAAGCATATACTCCAAGTCCCTCTCACTCTCTAGCACAAGCACTAAACGCACATAATAAAACATTGAGTTCAGTACCTAACACAACATCTTATCGATGTCTTGCAAATATCCTAGGAAAATGCCAATATTGCCTCAATGATTAAAAAGGCAAAAAGGGAGATGAGAGTTTATGCATTTCAACATTTGTAATCAATTAGAGCATATGAGTGTGCTGTTATACTATCTGTATCATTTCAATCTTGCGCACACGCACATTCACTAAGCGAAGACAGAGATAATCAATTAAATAAATATCCTGTTATTAGAAATTTGAAAAATAAGGACGTCTCCTTAGGCTAAAAAGAGAAATGAAATCAGAAATTGGACATGAATTGTTCTAATCATTCAGCAATTAGAAATCATACCAGAGACTGAAATTCAAATTATAAACAAATTAAAGACAGCCTCATTAGAAATGAAATCAGAAAATCATACCACAGCGTAAAATCAAAATTATAAACAAATTAAATACAACCTCATTAATCTAAAATTCGAAAATGAAATTAGAAATAATAAACGAAATCTAAACACACACAATCATGCATGTATATACGCGCCATATTTTTGCATTACGCAGAATGTTGGAGACCTTAAGGCGTTTCTGCAGACGGAACTGTGATGCTTCCATATCCTTCACAATCTCAGAGTGTGACGAATCCAGCATGCACTTGATGGATTCCAGTTTAGTAGAGGCCAGATCCTTCAGATCAGAAATTGTGCTCACGCTTTTCAGCGAGGGTGCCGCAATTCCAGTAGGCTGCTTCATCTTGGAGGCGGATGCACCTGCACAGCTGTTTTTGCAACTTTTCTTCTTCGATGATGTCAGTTTGGTGGTTGAGGTGGTGAATCCATTGAGATTGAACTCAAACTGCTCCACAGGAGATTCCCGTGGTGACAAGGTGGAGCTCCTCGCTGCCGCATTGTTCAACGGTGTTGATTCGAGGAGCTCCGCCTTGGATGATCTCTTAGTTGTTCTCTTCCTCATAGCCGGGTCTCTATTTCTCTGAAATTTGTTCCTCTTTTGTCCTTTTAAGTTATAAAGAGAAGGGAAACGTGGAGATATTTATAGTGGCGCGAATTTTGATTCTGATTTTTTTTTTTAAATGTAAAAAGCTAAGACTAACGAGAAAATGATAGATCGAACACCCTGTGCTCCGTGTTTTTCAATTTACTGCAAGGGTGAGTTGCACGTGTAGTCCCCAATGCTTAGATTTGATTGCAAACTCATCCTCAACATATTTATTAACATTTTCAGCTTCTTTCCGGACTCTCAAAATCTCGTTCGAATATCTTCGAAAGAGTCAAATATGCCTCCCTCCATTAGAGACACTTTCCCGAATACAGTTCCCACTAATAGATGAGATTAGAGATGCTAACATGGTAGGGTCGACCGCAAAACAACTTCAACAACCAATTAAACCCCGTTTGATATCCTCAATTTTCCATGGAACTTGAAAATCATTTTCTTTTCGGGCGATGCTACATGTACACCTCATGCATTATACAATCCTTTACACCCCCTCACATGGAGGAGGGCCCACGATTATTTTATTCTGTGTAGACCCCCCTCCATGTGAAGGGAGTGTAAAGAATTGTGTAAAAAATTATGTACACATAGCTTTATTCTTTTCCTTTTTCCATCTTTTACATTATTTGATAGGAAGAATTTTCTTGGAATTGATTTTCCATCCTACCTCCCACTTGACCCATTTTTCCTTGAATTGATTTTCCCTCCACTTTCACAGCAAAATGATTTTTCATCATTTTTTTTTTAAACAATGGAAACAAATTTTATTCCCAATTATAACAAATTATATTCCTTTAATGGACAATTTTCATGTAAAACAAAACAAAACAAACACCAAAAGATCTAAAATTTCAATATTTTACACGTGAAAAATTATACTAATCAAACACAATTAATTGACAATTCTCAGAAAAACAATTCTAAGCAATTCAATTCCCTAGAATTCATTATTTTCACCCAAATTCCACTCTTGCAATCAAACGAACCTTATTGTTTCTTCTCGAAATTAAAGACCATTGTCTCTAAAGAGCAGATATAGAAGATCCCAGCTTAAAACAAGACATCGCTATAAATCCATCAAATGAAATTAATTAAAACACGCGTGATACGGTGATAGGATAATTTACATATTCTCGAGCTTTTTGCAAGAGACATCCCACAATTTGCAGCAAAGCAGATAGTATAAGCTCCTAAGCGAAAAGATGCCAGTTAATTACATTTATTCCTCGTGATAAACTCGAGCATTCACAAGTTTTTACACCACAACCAAATTTGTCCCATGTCCTAGAAAAAACAACACGAAAGTACATAAACCTTACACAATCAAAGATCATGTAATTCACCATCCTTTGCCAGCAGCAAGGACCGATCGAATAATTATAATAATTATCCATCTTCAAGCATCTGCATCCAGCACGAACAAGTGGTTTCAGATTAGTAAATGTAGATCTAGTGACATGGGACCACAAGGGCATGTTTAAGAAGTGATTATACTTTTTATCCACACATAAGCCGCACAACTACTTACCTACACACTCCATAGGACCCCACAGCTTTAATCACTTACATTTAGCCCCTGTTTGAGTCCCATTATATAAAAATTCTTTTTTTCTTTCTTTTCGGAACTCATTTTCAACCTCACTTTCTTCCAATAAAATAATTTTGCATGTAAATCCAAAAAAATTTCTGACTTTTTAACGACATTTTCTCCCAAAAAAAATCATTATTATAAAATCCATTCATTCAAAAAATGGGGCTCAAACACACCCTTAATTGTTAAATCACTTCCCAAACATGAACAGTATCAAGAAATTAAGACGATGATGCTACTTGTACATTAGGATGTACATAGGGGGTTACACCCCCCTCACATGGGGGGTGGGACCCACTCGAATAAAAAATATTATTCAAGTGGGTCCCACCCCCCATGTGAGGGGGGTCTAACCCCTTATGTACATGTCTTGATGTACAAGTAGACTAATTCTAAGAAGAATTGATCACTTGAATATTTTAAACTTACCATTTGGGGAACAACCACTACCTGAAGAAAATTCAGAAGACGACCTTGGAATTGAGATGGACAACTGAGTAGTAGAGAATGCATTTTTGTTGGTTTCATTCTCATCCAAATTGGACCATGATTCCTTAGCTGTAGGCCACTCGCTGAAGAAGGGATGAACAGAATGTTGCTCTTGCTTTGCTGGTCCAGGTGAACCAATATCACTGCCCAAAAAGCAGTGTTGTTGCTGTTGTTTCGACGCCATGGTGTCAATAGGCACAAAAGCATGTTGCATATGTAGTGGGGAGGACGAGTGTCCCAGAAATTGAGAATCAGATTTCTGTTTCAGAGAAGGGCTTGACGGAAGTTGAGAAGGCGTTAGATACCACGTGCTGCAGCCAACACTAGAGCCCAGTTTGAGGCCTCCCATGCTTCCAGATGCTTCTGGGGAATAAGTGTTCTCGTCAGGAACAGGAGCAAGTCCATGAATGTACCTGTGTTGATTATGTTATAAGCTGATAGATGTCAAGAGGGGTAGAGGAATTAAAGATAAATTCTGTGTTTCTCATTCAACAAGATCAAAATATTGTACATTATTGGCATGAAGTGCAAAAAACATGCAATTCATGTAGCTAAAGAACTAAACTAAAACTTGTCCTCGAGCAAAAGTAGATGTTGAGAAGAAACTAAACCCTTATCAGAGCTCTCAAACAATTTATCGTCAGAAGTTATATCATTCAATTTGCTCTAGCTTCGTTCGATTGGTCACAAGGAAAAAATAAGGTGATAGTAAAAACAAATAGAAGCTTGGAAATCTCAGAATAATGATCAGGATGCTTCCATCATTATGCACTAGAGTACAACAGGCGAACAAGATAGACAAAGTGAGATTTTGAAGAATGCACAAATTAAGCAACTTTCAATAACAGGTACCAAAGTGCCAGAAACATCAATTACATACTTTCTATAGTATGTTATTGGGTGCCTGAATGAAAAAATAAGAACATGGCATACTAGCTTAAATAAAGCCTTCTAAAAGCTTTGTCATAATCTTCACCAATATTGAACTTTCTACAGCTCCACTTGTTGTGTAATCGTGGCACTATAGGACCATGCACGAACATGCAGTTCATTTTCAACTACGTCATATGACCTGCAAATCATTCCAAAGACCAGTGAACAGGACTACGTGCAAGAAGCGCTGACTAAAATCAATACTCATAATTTAGTTCTTTTACATCAAGAAACGCTACCCACTGGTTTCTCAATCACGGAATTATACATAAACAGATTCTGATCCTCATCAATTCCAGTTCTTGTGCTCAGCTAGTATTAGGCTAACCACTAGCTTAATTCACCCCAGGGAAAACTTTCAATTTCTGCCCATTGGCAGGAATCATAGACAATGAATAAACCTTGGAACTTCCAGTTAGTTTTGACCAGAATGATGCATGATATCATATCTTTCCAGGCAGACTCGCCCACATTCTTCATCACATTAGAATTCATGTTTCACGAAAGAAGGAAAGTATAGTTTGCAAGAATGAATTAGTCAATAACCAGAGTTATGATAGAATCACAGCTCATATTTTACCAGTAAAAAAAGTAGGAAATCAACTGCGGACTAGTGCATTCCTCCACTACAAGCTTTGGGACCAGGCCACCAGGGGTTTCAGAACTTTGACATATTTAGTCAAATATATGAAACACATCCGTTTGTCTGTGGATTTATCGTATTTCAATCAGCAGAAACAAAACCTTGCCCCATGTTTGATCCCCATTTTTGGGTAAATGTATTGTGGAATAGTGATTTTTTTTGGAGAATGTGTGGTTAAAAAGTTAGGTAAAAATTTTGAAATACGTGTATAATTATTTAACAGGAGAATGTGCAGTTAAAAATGAGTTTTGAAAAAATACATTCTTGAAAAAAGAGCTCAAACAGGGGCTTAGTGAAGACAGACCCTTACCCATTAGATTTCAGCAAATATTGCATTTTCTAACCTGTTTCGCCATTTAAATTTTCTTGATTCATCTATTATATAAGCTTAACAGAATTAATGACTACCAAATGGCCTTAGTTTGAGTAGCAGGCAATCAGATCTCAATATGACAGCTCATATCCGAAATCAGAAATGCCTGTCGGTAATGATGCTTGATAAGTGCCTCTACTCTATGTATAACCACTATTTCTTAATAGCACGATCTTCCTGTTTCTAATCCTCAAGTAATTAAAAACTAAAAAATGAGGGGATCTCTCAAGTCTCAACAATGTCACCAAGCATAAAAACATTACTGTAGGCAATCATTTCACAGATATGCAAATAATATTGCTCTTCTCAGGGTGAAAGAAAGATTGTGGTTGTTTGATGAGCTACCCTAACTGTGATACAACTCAAAGAAATAGCCCAAAAAAGAACCTGACACGATAAAAACAAATTATATAAACATGAGAGAAACATAATAAGCAGAGTTACGCACAAACTAAAACACCAGATTGAGAAGTATACAGTTATTGTGATGGACACAATATACTTGTGAGCACAAACAAGTACTCCTACGTAAGTGAAATAAATTACTTGACAAACGGAATTACTTGTTTCTGGTCACTCTTATCAACACAAGTACATTGTGTCCAGCACAATATACAGATTTAATCATAACTGTAGTACTTGATGCTAGTAAAAATCAGATGGTGTCATGAAGTTACTTATTTACTTGTATAGTTTCCAATGTAAGATAAGAAACTGAGCTTAACTAAGTCACCTGTACTCTTTGTTATTGATCCCATAGGGCACAGGCTCCATCTGCAGCTTTGTCACATTGTTCCCAAAAGACAAACCTTCTGAACTAACAGAATACAAAGGCATGTTTTGGAAGCTTACACTGCCACCAGTTTGGTAGCTTCCACTCTTACCACTGCTCCCACTGGTGACGTGTGACATTGCAGTTGATAAGGATT